TCTCTCTCTCTCTCTCTCTCTCTCTCTCTCTCTCTCTCTCACACACACACACACACACACACACACACACACACACACACACACACACACACGTGGTCCTATGAGCACAGGCTTGAGGGAAGGAGGCAGGACACCACAAAAAGCCAGGAGTCTCAGGAACAGGATAGTGGAGTTGACAAGGGACCTTGGTCATGTCCCCACTGATAGCATCCATGTGGAGACATTTTGGTTCTTCTCAAATGGAGCTGGGAACTTGTATGGAGTTTGGAGGAACAGGCAAAAGGAGGGCACCTAGAAAACCCCTAACAGAAAGGAGCATTCTCCTTTTTCCATCTTAATATTCGGATCTGTACCTTACTTTAACCATTCCCTTAAAGACTCCCAACTCTCAGCTTCCAGCATCACATAGCCAGAGACCAACCCTGAGTGAGAATGAAGACAGAGGTGTGTTGAAGAGGACATGCACAAGCTCCGAGGAGGTTGTGGGGCCCCTCCGAGTCTCCAGCATTGTCTCAACCACTCCCCCAAGAAATACCCACACACACACCCTTTTTTAACTGCCATAGTCTCTGAAGTTAAATGATTCTCTTGTCAAGGAACTCTGTCTACACTCTATATCTTATCATTTTGGAGATGCTTCACAAAGTGCCCAGAATTCAGGAAATTTTCCAACCACAAAAGAGAAGGTAATACACCATACTCTACTTTGCATGTTGTTGGAGAATGCTTTCAGTGCCTCACAAACACACAAAGAATCAAAATCAACCTCTAAAGACAATTTCTTATTGCAAAAAGGTGCTCCACCATATAGTGAGTGAGCAAGCACACCAGACAGGATGTTCACTTGTTTTTAACACATGTCATTACTAGGCCCTATCCCGTGATGGGAGCTAGACCTCAGAATCTGTTGTGATTGGCTAATTTATAATTGCTGAAAAAGGGAAGGCTATGATAGGAAGTCAAGTCTCAGGAGTGACCAGGGCTTGGCAGAGAGCATATACAAGGAGTGTCAAATGGGGGAGGTTAATGGACTATTGGACATTGGTGGTTTATTTATCTTTGATAGAGGAAAAAAAAAATCTTGCCAAGTGTGGCGACAGTCAGAGGGAGGCAGATCTCTATGAGTTCTAGGCCATTCTGGTCTAGTAGCAAATTTCAGACCAACAGGATACATAGGGATCCTGTCACAGAAAAAACAAAATTCTCACAATGTGAGAAATGGAAAACCAGCCACAGACACAAAAGACTTCAGGGCCCAGTCTTTTTGGGGCAAGAAAAAATTTTGGAGCAAGATAAATGGGTTTTAAAACAATTAAGATCCTCAGAGCTAGGTGTAGTGACATGCTTATAATCCCAGCACTCTGAAGGTAGAGGCAGGAGGATCAGGAGTGGAAGGCTATCCTTGGCCACATAAGAAGGCTGAAAAACCAGCTGGAGCTACTAAAGAGCTACTAAAGATTCAGCCTCAATTAAAAAAAAAATATTCACCAGCACCATCCCTAAAAAAAAAAAAAAACCATAAAATTTGAGGCTGGGAACTGAGTTTGATTCCAAAGTTGCAAAAGAAAAAAAAAGTAACCACCTTTTATTTATTTATTTTTTTAAGGTAGCAAACATTTACCATGTCTGTTAGCTTCTGTGAGTCAGGCATGTGGGAGCAGCTTGCCTGAGTGTTCAGGATCTTGAAAGAGATTGCAGAATGTTAGGTGGTGTTGTAGTGATCTGAAAGCTTAACCAAGGCTGGTGGATCCTCCATGGATCCCCCATATAGCTGACAGCTTGGTGCAGGCTGTTAGAGGGATGACTCAACTCCTCCTCATAGGCCCTTTTCCACAAGGCTTACTCAATGTCCTCCTGGGTTTGTGATTTAGCTTTAGGAGTCATATACTATCATCTCTCTAGTATCCTTTCCCCTGCATATTGTGGGAAGGGACGATGTAAGAAACAAATGCCAGGTAAGGATTCTGAGATGCTGTGTTTAGAACTCAGGGCCTTGTGCATACTACATGGATACTGTCCCATTGAGCTACATGTATGTGGAACATTTTAAGTAGTCTCTATCATCATTAACATTAAGGACAAATATTTGGTCTTTTGTAAAGTGAGGTGGAGTCATGTTTCTGATACTGGAGAAAATGATAAGTTATCAGATTGATAGACAAGCAGCTATAGAGTATTGGTAGTTAATGTAAATACGAGAGTCAGGCTGTCTGGGCTGGAGTGGTGTGATTCTACTCCTGGCTCTGACTCATTAGCAGTAAAATGGGGATGAAAGTAGTATCCACTTTATATTGCTAAAATGGGATTTAAAAAAGCATAAGCTCCTCAGAACAACTTCCCATGCCTATTGCCATGATTCATGGTTATTGGCTCTTTGACATGGGTGTATGAGGCTGGAGTCAGATGAATGAAGGACTGTAGGTAGATTCTTTATTCAGAAGACGGCATTTACATGTCAGCCCTTGGTGCTTCAGTCTGTTCTTCTAGTTCACCTGTGTAAACCAGACCATTTTCTTCTCTCCGTCTGTGGGGGGATGGGGGTGGGAGGAGCAGAGGACAATTTGCAGGAGTTTTTCATGACAGGGTTTCTCTGTGTAGTTTTTGGTACCTGTCCTGGATCTTGTTCTGTAGACCAGGCTGGCCTCGAACTCACAGAGATCCGCCTGCCTCTGCCTCCAGAATGTACCTGGACAAATGCTTTTATGTGACAAGGTCCCATGTACCTCAGGCTTGCCTGTACTCCTGGTCCTCCTGCTTCCAGCTTCCAAATACTGAGATGCCTGCAGCATCACACCTGGCAAAAATTGACTGGATCCTTAACTCTGTCATGTCCGAAGAGAGAATATAATTAGACTCAATTTCTGCAGGTGTTAAAGCAGAAATTGAGTGACCTGCCAAACAACCTTTATATTGGAAATTTCAAATGGAAACTAGAGTATAATGACAATGTAGTGGACCTAACACTCAGCAAGTTCAGTCATGTGTCTCTAGGAGAGAGCCCGGACTTCAGTGGCAGCATGTCTGACTAGCACCCATGAGGCCCTGGGTTCAATCCTAAGTACCTCAAAAAAGAAAAGGAAAATGAAAAACCTCCTATATCATCTAGAAATACATTTATTCCCAGAATGGATAACTAGCTATTTACAAATGAACCAAAAATGAGCAAAGGTGCTGGTCTGCCAACTTGGGCTGAACAGGAGGAGCTAAGCACCTCTGAGGCCTGCAGGCTGTGACTCTCCCTGCCCTCCTGCCTATTCCTAAGGGCACTGGCCATCTGTCATGCCTCCCAGCAGAGGAAGGCACATGCCTGTGTGAGTTTGCTCAGGCCCTCAGGTAACTGCATGACAGAGTTTCCCCATGTTCTGGAGGCTCTGGCTACCATTTCCCTGAAGAGGAGATTAGGGACACAGTGGGAGATGAAGGCGGCTGCCACTCCAGGGGCTCAGTGTGTGGTGAGCCAAAGGGGTTGGTACCAGGGCTGCTGGAAGGTGACACTTCACCAATGTCTCTGAAATCCATCCAGTTCCACACAGCCTGGAGTGCCCTTGGAATAGGTCTGGCCTCCCCAACAGGAATTCAGCTATCGGTTCCTGATTGCCTGATGGTTCTTGGGTACAGCCACATATCTCAGCTTCTTCATGATGGACGGCCAGCCCATCTTCTGGTCCCACACATACTCTGGGGACAGCACCTTTGTAGGCTTGTGGTATAGCAGGTACTTGTTCAGATGGCTCTCATCATGCCACACAGCCTCTATGCCATTGGCCTTGTCCTGCACCATAGCCTCATGACAGGCCTTGGTGAGATGGTGCACCTCCAACACTGACCCCCCAAAGAAGCCCCCTGCATAGTAAAAGTCACCCTCATCCCGGGGGATGTAGGCCTGGGACTGTGGTCTCCGCTCATAGGTAAAGGCCTCTCGGCTGCTACTGTAGAAGCCAGGATGCAGGGTACCAAAGAGTGCTGAGAGAATCTCCACACCCACATGGTCACTGAACTTCATGTCCACATCTGCACACACCAGGTAATCCACCTCATGCAGAAAGCGTCGCTCTGAGAAGTGGCTGATCATCTCCATCCTGTGCATGGACACATCCTGCCAGCGGGTGTAGTTGCGCACAGTTAGAACCACCAGCTTCCGTCCTGTACCCAGGGGCACCAGCGGCACGTCAGCTGGACGGTCAGTGAAGACATAGTAGGTGACCTTGTGCCCCACCATGAAGTGCTGCTCTGCCGTCTCCAGGAACAGCTTCAGGAACACTACATACCTGTGAGGGAGGACAAAGGGGTATGGAGAGCCTTAGTGCAGCTAGGTCAAGACTTGCCAGGGCAGGCCCAGGCTGCAGAATCCATGGCTACCTGGAGGCTTGAAGCGGCAGCATCCCCACTGCACGGCTGTGCTGACCAGTCTGCAGGCTGTACCTCACCTCACCCTCCTTTGCTGCAGAAGGGAGCAACATCAGCACCACATCTTAGCAAGGAACGCTGAGGTAGAGGCCTGGAAGGTTTCAGCCAGGCAGCGGGGATGACTTCAGGCCTGGAGTTCCAGCCAGATGCCCTGCAGGTATCTCTTGTCTTGGCAACCCCTCAGCAGGCCACCTCTCCATGAGTCTGTCATCCTCCCCACCCCCCCAATAATGACAGCTCCATCCCAAGACATTCCACACCTCACACCCTTGAATTGTCCTGGGCAGAGCCTGTGCTCACAGGGCCCCACTTGCTAAACCCTGGTGGAACTGGATGGATCTGTAAGGGCCTGGGATCTGCACCCCTCCTTTGTGGCACTTTCCAGGGCCTTGTCTCAGGAAAGGAAGGGGTCTCTATATCCCAGACCTTCCTCATCAGAAGCTTGAAGGTGCTGTGGACAACCACTCAGTAACTCAATCATGTCTCTAAGAGTCTTCCCCCATGTACTCCACCAGAGCAAGAATCAGTCTCACAGAGCAGGCAGGGAACGGGAGACAAGAACCCTAGAAAGAAAGCCAAGCCTAAGCCAACCCCTCTGGTCCAGGGGCAAAAAGCTTCTATCTTAGAGTTTTTATTGTTGTGAAGAGACACCATGCCCATGGCAACTCTTATAAGGGAAAATGTTTAACTGAGGTGGCAGCTTACAGTCTCAGAGGTTCAGTCCATTATCATCATAGTGAGGAGCATGGCAGGCAGACTTGGTACCGGAGCTGAGAGTCCTACAACAGGGAGTCAACTGAGACACTGAGAGGTATTCTGGGCATAGGAAGCTTCAGAGCCCACCCCACAGTGACACACTTCTTCCAACAAGACCATAGCCACTAGCCATACCCGCTAACAGTGCCACTCACTTTAGGGGTTATTGTTTTTCAAACCACCACATTCCACTTCCTGACCTATCACAATCTCAAACTTGTTTCAAAGTCCAAAGTCTCTTCTGAGATTCACAACAGTCTCTTAACTGTCGTCTCCTATAAAATCAAAATTAAAAAAAAAAAAACAGATCACATATTTCTAACATATAATGGCACAGTTTATATATTACCATTCCAAACCATAGAGAAGAGAGACTAGTGAGGAAATACCAGACCAAAGCAAGACTGAAAAGCAGCTAGGCAAACTCTAAACTCTATAGCTTCATGTCTGATGTCAAAATGCTCTTCAGATCTCCAATTCAGTTCAGCTTTGTTCAACTTCTTTCTTCTGGACTGCTTCCACTCCATTTTAGCAGCTCTCCTCAGCAGGTATCATACTACTCTGGCATCTCGAACATCTTGTGTTCTCCAAGACAATCCAGGCTTCAACTTCACAGCTTCACAAAATGGCCTCCCTACTAGGCCTTCATTCAGGGACACCCTTGGCACATGCCTGGCCTCAGGGGCTTTCTTTAGGTGAAGAGGCAAATTCCATAATCTGTTTTTTCTATCCTTAGCTCTAAAGCCAGAATCACACGGCCAAAGCTGCCAAGTTCTGCTGACTACTGGGGCTGGAACATGGCCCCCTCATTCAACTACAACTTCACCAGCTTTCTGTCCTTTACTGCCTAAACTTGGCTGTCCTGAAACTAGATCTCTAGACCAGGCTGGCCCCAAACTCAGAGATCTGACAGCCTCTGCCTCCCCAGTGCTAAGATTAAGAGCATGCACCACCACACCTGGCTCTAAGCTTTTCTTTAGTTTCTTTCCACAAGTTGGAAACTTAGCTGAGTGGGACCTTGTCCTGAGGTTACCACTCCCTTTTCTACATTTCTTAATCTGTTTACCTCCTTGAACAAGAAGCTTAGCTCCATTCCACTTCCTGGTGCTCCTTTTCTCCTCAAATTGTACATTTTGTACTTTTGCTTTCTCAGCTTGCGCCTTTTCATTATATATCTTCATTATAGTTAACACCAACAACAATACAATAGAGTCTATACTAAGCTGTTTTGAGATTTCCTCTGCCAATGGAATTAATCCAAAATTCTTTACTTTAGCCTCAGGCAGACTCTTGGACAAGGGCAAAAGGCAGCTGCTTCACCAAAATATCACAAAAACAGCCTCTAGGCCACATACTCACATTCGTCTCCTCTGAACATCTTGATCCCCACAGTTCATCAAATCACATTCAGCACCATGGTCTTCCATGCTCCTAATAGTGTGGCTCACTAAGCAGCAGTTAAAGCATTCCACTGCTCTCCTAACCCAAACTCCCCAAGTCCATGTTACTCCAAGCTGAAGCATGGTCAGGCCTATCACAGCAATACCCCAGTCCCTCCCACCAATGTTTGTCCTAGTTATGGTTTTTACTGCTGTGAAGAGACACCATGACCATAGCGACTCATAAAGGAAAATGGTTAATTGAGGTGGCAGCTTCCAGTTTCAGAGGTTCTGTCCATTAGCATCATGGTGGGGAGCATGGCAGGCAGACCTGGTGCTGGAACCGAGAGTCCTACATCTTGCAGGTAACAGAAAGTCAACTGAGCCACTTGGTGGTGTCCCAAGCATAGGAGACCTCAAAGCCTACTATCACAGTGACACACTTCCTCCAACAAGGCCACACCTACTCCAACAAAGCCACAGCTGCTAATAGTGCCACTCACTTTAGGGACCATTTTCTTTCAAACCACCCCAGCTTCTATGTCATCTCAAAGCCCAAGAAGTTTTCACCTACTTCAGGGCTGCTCCTCCATTCCTGGCCACTATGTGCCCCCATCATGGGAGCAGGGATCCCCATCACATGGCACATGTGTCAAGCCTCCCCACTTCAATGTCAGAAACAGGCTGTTTTCCCATGGGGCTCCCAGCTAGTTCCTTCAGAGGCCTTCTTCCCACAGGCAGAGCACCTACCCACACCTGGCAGGGCTCTTGTTCATGTACCCAGCAGCACCCAGACAAGGTAGTGTTTGTGTTTTGTTACTGTGAAGTCCTTTGTCCACAGGAGTTCCAGGCATTCTCAAGATGCCTAAGATCCCTCCAGCTGAGCCCCAAACCCCTTTCAAGTCTGATTGGTACAAAGGCCTCAGAGCTATCCTTGGATCTCACCCAGAGCTGCAGGGAAGGACACCCCCCCCACACTTCTCATAGGCAGGCAGCACAAATCTCTCAGCCCCCCACAGCCTTCCACACTGTAATGCTTCCCTGTTCTGCTCCCCACAGGCTTCCACAGGGCAAGTTTCTGGTCTGTGGCCTAGAGTCAGCCTGAGCCAGAGTCTCAAGGCTTCATGGGTCTGCTACTCCCTGCCCCAGGGCTGAGGTTAAAGATTTGACCCAACCCTTGCTGTCCACCTTGTCCTCCATCTGAAGACACATCTGTTGTGGAATATCACTCTAACGATGCAAATATCTGCTACATTTGTTTATGATGCCTTTGTTGAATTATGTAAGATTTGTTACATGTGTTACCTTGCCTGCCTAAGGCACAGATTGGTCTAATAAAAAGCTGAGCAGCCAATAGCGAGGCAGAAGAAGGATAAGTGGGGCTGATGGGCAGAGAGAATAAATAGGAGAGAATAATAGGAGGAAGAGAGAACTAGGAAGAAAGAGAGGGGCATGCCCAGAGCCAGGAGCCAGGCAACAGGACAGTAAGATATACAGAAAGAAAGGTTAAAAATGCTCCATGGCAAAAATGTAGATAAAGACAAACAGATTAAAATAAGAGGTAAACTAAGGTTGAACATTATTCAAAACTAATAATAAGTCTCTGTGTCATGATTTGAGAGCTGGTTGGTGTGAAGGGGACCCAAAATAGCTTGACCACACAGCAGCCATGACAGGCTTAGGAGCCTAGACACAGCTTCTGTGACACGCTTACTGGCAGGGAACACCCAGATCCAGTAAAAGCCTTAAGCTGATACCACCCAGGGATCTACCCAGGGGTGAGGAAGTACCTGACATCCCACACATTCCAACCATTAGATAAGGTGGCCAGATGTCCTTGAGTCTAGCACACACCTATTTTTTTGTTTTATAGATACCCCAAACAATTATCAGCCAATCAGGGTCCTGGACCCTGGAAATCTCCTCACCCCAACTTCTCCTATGATAAAAACTCTGCCCCACCTGAGCTCAGGGCTCTCTGCTCTCACCACGGTGTCGGACAGACAGAGGGACCAAGCTCTGGAGCTTGAAATAAAGGCTCTTTGCTTTTACATGTGGGATTTGGTCTCCGTGGTGGTCTTTTGGGGGTTCACGTGATCTGGGCATAACAGTTGGTAGTCCAAAAGAGAAAGCCTGGGACACACATCAGTGGCTCTGTTGGCATTCTGACCCTTACTAGCAGCCCTGGGGATGAGTATACACACCTGAAGAGTGTGTGTGCTGAGGGATGCAAGTGGCACGTGGCTAGGAGCCCAGAGGGAACGGCAGCTTGTCTGGGGCTCTGGCAGGTGGCAGAGCTGGTTTCATTCACCTGTGAGCCCAGCAGATATCAGGAAGGCAGCAAAGTGGACCAACCCCACCCCTGCTGCATCCTAGATACAAGCATGGAGCGGTTGTGCCTGGCCTCCAGCTTGACCATTGTATGTGTGCACATGTGCTGCAAGCCGCAGGAAAACGTAATGGAATTCAGCTGCTATCACAAAAGTTACTTCTCCAAAGTCAGGCCGTGGCTTAAGAAGTCTTGGTGATATTTTAGCTTTTGTATGTATATTAGCTGGTTCCTACAGTGATTTTCTTGTAATGCTATGCGTGCTTCCAAGAACTCCTAACAGTGTATTTATCTAAAATGCCTATCAAGCATCCAAGGCCAAATGAAACACCTGTCTCCTAGGTCAGGAGGATAGATTTATTTCTCTTGCAATTTAGGGTGAGACCCTCTTTCCTTACAGCCTTACTAACAGATTCCTAATTTCTTGCCTAAACACTTCTAGGAATGTAGATTTAGATGCACATAAATTCCCTTCTTGATATACTAACCGATCATTAGCTCTCTATTGACCACTCCCCTTTTGGGCTGTAAAAGAAAGCCTGGTGGTCACTGCATGAGCAAAATTCTTATCTGCCTTTATGACCCCATAAGAATTCAAGCCTGGTGACCTTGCTCTGTGAGAGGATTGCTACTGCTTGGGTTTATAACTGGATTCCTGAGAGACTTAGAGAGAATTGAGAGAATAAGGAGATGAAGAGGAGGAGAGAGAGAGGAAAAAAGAGAACAGAAGAACTAGATGAGTAAGAACTGGAGAGGAATGGACTAGATGGAAAGAACTAAATTTAAGGGCTAAAAGAGAGTACTAGAGGAACAAGATGGAAGATGAGGAAGAGCCAGATGAAGAAGAACAAGATGAGGAAGAAGGAGATGGGAGAGGAGCTAAGACAGGAAAGAACTAGATGGATGAGAACCTAGATGGGGCAGAACTAAGATGAGAGAATTAAGATAGAACTTAGAGGGGACAGTAGATAAATACAGAGATAATTAAACAGAAAGGAACTAGGTTTGAGTACAGAACTGTAGCTGTATAGAAGAATAAAGTAGACGGACAAAGAGCTTGGTGTACTTAGATTCATTTCCCGAAAATAGTTTTCGCCACTCATAGTTTCCCTTCTGAGTCCCTGGGAAGTATATTATTAAGGCTGGTCCTTTATATTATACAAGACATAAGTGCATGTGTGTGCATGCCTATTGTACATATCCATGTTTACTTGTCTGTATGCCTGTGTGGAGGCCAGAAGTTGACTTCAGTTTTCTTCTTCTATCATTCCTATTTGTTCTTTGGACAGGATCCCTTCTCTGACTCTGAAGCTCACTGTTTGGCTATGCTGCCCAGAAAGCTGCCTGGTCCACTTGTGTCTCCCCTCCACCCACAGTGCTGGGATGACAGGGGCATGCCACCATGCACAGCCTTCACATGGGTGTTAGGGATCAAACTCAGGTCCTCTGAAGCAAGTGCTTTACCCACTAGCCGTCTCTCCAGCACCCACTGCTTACTTTTTGATGGCAAACACCGTCAGTCCAATTGTGGTGTTGCGAAGCCTGAACTGCTCATTCAGTATGTCGATGTTGAAGGTCCCCTCCCAGATGATGGGAGCCAGCCAAGGGGTCAGGACAAGAACATCTTTCCTACTACATGGGGACAAAGCCACAGTCAACACGTGACCAAACATGCCTGCAGGAACCCTTCTCAGATTCCACACCCTCAGCTGCCCTAGGGCTGCCCACCCTCCCCAGTGGGGCCTGGCCAATCAGCAGCAGCTCTCACTGACTACGGCCACCCCACTCCACCAAGCATTAAAACAACTGAGTTATTACAGCCACTGCAGCCACCACATCTCTGCAAACTGATGACAGAGACAGGAAACAAGGAGCAGATCCCAGACGGGAAATGACAGACAGGAGATGCTCCGGGCTCCAGACCTGAGTCAGACAACCCTCGGACTCTGACAGGGTTGTGAAGTGAGGGCAACGAGAATCATAATCAGGTCTTTGGTTTTTTCTGGGTTTGGTTTCTCCAGTGCTGGAGACCGGCCCAGCTCTCAGGTATGCTGCTGAACTGTCCCCACTGCAAGCAAATCCTCCTTTAGTGCCTTTACGGCACTTCCCATGCACTGACCAAATCTACTCACCTGGGTGTTAGCACCTGTGGCTGGGCATAGGCCATCCTGCAAAAAGACAACACCAGAACTCAAGGTGACAGGAAGGTCCCTGGAATGCATGTCACTGGCAGATCTGCAGCAGGCAAACAGACCCACACCAGCAGTGGCAACCAAGCCACTGTGTACGTCCATGACCCTGGGAGCAGAGGATGGGCCGAAGCAGGAGATCACAGTCTCACTTGACATAAGGTAGGGAGAGGAAATCATGACATCCCTCCCCTTACTTAACGCTGGGAAATCTAAGGACTACTTTAATGCACAAGCTGGATGAGAATGAACATGTCTGTCCCTGGTAGATGGCGACCATCTGACCTGGGCCTGCAGCCTGCCTTGGTTTTCTCCTTAGCTGGTGGCACACAGAGTCCTGGCTCTCTGTCTCTTTCAGTGACCAGCCCCAACATCAGTGTGAAGTTCCCCCAAAAGGTCAGGCCCCAAGGGACAAGAGCCACTTCTGTTATAAGCTGCGTTCTAAGACGGCCTGGGGAGCAGAGAGCAAGGCTGGAGAGACGCTCAGCGGCCAGAGCACTGGCTACTCTTGCAGAGCAACGGGATTCCGTTTCCAGCACCCGCATGGAGACCCACAACTGTCTGGAACTCCAGTTCCAGGGGACCTGAGGGCCTTTTCTGGACTCTCTGGGCACAGGCATGAATGTGGTACACAGACATACATGCAGGCAAAACACTCATACACATAAAAAAATACATGTTTTTGTTTGTTTGTTTTTTTTGAGACAGGGTATCTCTCTGTAGCTTTGCGCCTTTCCTGGAAATCCCTTTGGAGACCAGGCTGGCCTGGAACACACAGAGATCCACCTGGCTCTGCCTCCCAAGTGCTGGGATTAAAGGCGTGCGCCACCACCGCACGGTTATTTTTTTTTTTTAATGCAGTAAATGAGCATTAAAAAAAAAAAAAAAAAAAAACTACAGGTCCCCATCCCTGGGGGGCACTACTACAAAGTGGCCACACTCAGAAGAACAACACAGAGCAGGCAAGATGGGTGCCAGGACCCACAAAAAAGGCTGGGCAATGGGAGGTCGATGTTTGATGGACTCAATTTACAAGATGGAATGTTCTGGAGATGGGTGGTGGTGAGGCTGCACCACAGCATGATGTACCAACTGCACTGAGCTGTTGAAATGGTGAGGATGGTAAACTCATGTGTTTTGCATGTTGCCATGGAAATGGGGTGCACAGCTGCAAACTCAGCTCTGTACCAGATGAGCCAGGCTGGCTCTTTAAAAGCCTAATGACATGCAGTTAGTCAACACAAAGAGTGGGGCTATGTTCTCCACTCCGGGTGCAGGAAGGGACTTCCCAGGTGCCCATGCTCACACACACACACACACACACACACACACACACACACACACACAGAGCCCTCCATCCATGCCCTTCAGCCCAGATCTGTAGAGCACCATGTGAGGACAGGATACCTTGACAGGGTTACAACTTCCCGGTCATCCAGCTCTCCGACAGTCATGCTGTAGAAGGAAACACAGGAGACAGGTTTATGCCAGCGGGGGTTAGGGGTCAGGTACACAGAGCCCGGAGGAAGGGGAGTGGTGCCTGAGCGTACAGTAAGGTCTGTTACGGTTACAGAACAGCCCCATGGTGATCACCCCATGCACTATGCCAACAACATGTAATCATGCATTGCCATACCCCAGATTCAAAAGTCAAACACTGGGGTCAAGGTTCACTGCCCCACACTGACCAGCCACTCCCTAGTGGAGCCTGAGCAGGAAAGGAGTTCAGAACACAGAAGATTCCCAGCCCCTCCCATCAAGAAGTGGAGCCTATTCCTGTCCTTGAAGAGATAAACTGAGGCAGCAGTGCCTGGATGAATTTAAACCTGGCTTCTGACAGGTTGAACTAACGTGCAATATGGTCACTGGTCTAGAGCCTTCCAGCCAGGCGTAGAGGAAGCTCAGTCTACACAGGGAGGCTCCAGGGACGGGCACTTCAGCTGAGGGCCACCCTCAACCACCAGAAATGTGAGAGACCTCAAGGAAGACCCACCGAGCTCTGCACAGTAACCCCAGGGATCTCTGGAGAGTCATCAAAGGTGTGACTGCCTCCCAACACAATGAGTGGGGGACAGAGTGCTCTGCAGCAGTGGAAAACTGACACAAGGGGGAACCTGTGGGAAAGAAGAGCAGGTGGGGGCAGTGTAGTCTAGTGGGAAGCACAGCATAGACAAAGATCAAGGCCAGTCCCACTCAAGGGCATGCATGGCTGTGCAGGAATGCGGAGGAGCAGGCTGCTGGGGAGGGTCAGCTGGCAGGATCTGATTTCAGAAAGCCCACTACCTTCTGTGCTGAAGGATCATTAGCTACTGTAAGGAAAACAGGGCTGAGACAGATGAACAGGCGTGTGGCTGATGCAAGGCCACAGCAGGTCCAGGAACCAGAGCAAAGCCAAGAGATGCCTTCCCAAAAGGCAGACTGACAGGATCTGGGACTGTGGGGATGGAGGGACCTCCAACTTGATCTCCGAGTAGAAGACAAAAAACCTAGCACTCAGTAGGCTGCTGGGGAGGTGGGTGGGGAACAGGAACTGTTCTTGGGGCTACCCAGGCAGGTACAGAAGGGAGGATGAGGCTGAAGCCAGAGAAAACAATAGTGTTCCTGGACAACACAGACCCTTTAGAGACAACAGGCAGCAGCTGAGGTTTCCTGTGTAACCTAGGGTAGGACAAGACCCACCCATGTAGAGGTACAGGCAGAGGCCACAAGGCATCATGAAACAGAATGTTCATCCAACCAGTAATATCCCCCATGCACAGATATACACACATTTGACACATTCACACATACAAACATCACACACACACACAAAACATCCACTCACCTTGTCACAGGTCCTGGGTCTCCCAATATCTGGCTTCTGTGGCTCAGGAACCCATAGCTGTGGAAAGGATGTACACAGACTTGAGACTGGCTGGCTCCACCTCCCTCTAAAATGCACCACTGTACCCAGTGAGCACAGACGTTCCCATGGGGATGCAAGGCCAGGTGACAGGACTAAGCAAGCTCACCCTGCTGGAAGAAGAGGTGGCAAGAAGGGCCCTGGGGACAAGGCCTGCATCTGGACACCTGAAGCAGCTGCAGACAGCCCCAAGACCGCATCAGGGACTACTGCCTGGCTGTGTATGCAGAAGCCTCGGTAGACATGGCAGTATCTTTACTCTGTGAGTGTTCACAGACCGTCTGCATCTAGAGAGGGCTGCAGTCCAGACCCCAGGCCTGCCTTCCTCTCCTTCTCCAGGTCCACCTTCACAGCTAGGGCCATATGACTGGGCATCCAGCCCCATTTGTGGAATCAGAGAGGGACATCTGTCCTGCAACCGAGCCTGCCCTATGGGGACAAGCAAAAGCTGGACATGCGCCTGTGTGAATGGCCAAGAGCACCCTCGTCACTGCCGTGGTAGTGGGGATGCCCACAGCTCAGGGTCCCCATCAGGGTCTCAGGAGCTGTTCCTCACCAGCCTGGATTCTTACCCAAAGAAGACCAAGGCAAGCACTGTAAGGGGAAGGATTCCGAGGTGAAGTGAGTTGCATTTTGGTCTTCCTGAAAAACAGCAGCACAGGATCCAGTTACTCACCCCCTTCCTGGACCAGACTCCCCTCCAGGCCTCTCCTGAGACTCAGAGGTCATCCTGAGCACCACAGCCACCACTGTGCCCTATCTCAGGCAGCCCCAATCCCAGCTGGAGCGCCAGCCCCGCTGAGCACTCAGAGGGTAAAGAAGGTTGTTCACTTCCTGCTCAGGACTCCAGCTGCTCCCTTGGCCCTCAAGGTCCCTTGGGCCCCCAAGTCCTCAGGCCACTGAGCACCCCTTCCTGTGGTAAACTGAAATGAACCAAAGCAAATACTTCAGGGTCACTGCTCCCTCTGGCCCCTGTATGCTCACACCACAGGGACAGCAATTGGTCTGTTCTAGTGACATTTTCTCATGCTGGGGTTGAAACCCATGGCTGGTGAGTGTTAGGTAAGTGCTCCACCACTGGACTATGCCCCTAATGCCTCAGCTGATTTTCATGTCTCTAGAAGTTATGTGTTCTCATAATCAAGTTCAAATAGTCCTAAAGACACGTATGTAAACAGACTCATGTGTGGGCTCTGGAGAAAGAGCTCAGTGGGTAAGGTTTTGTCACAGCCACACAAGCATGAGGTCCTCAGTTCAGATCCCAGAACCCATGTAAATCCAGACATGTGAATTCCCAGCACTCCTGTGAGGAGAGGGGAGGGGGTAATGGGGGGGTCCCTGGAAGCTCTCGGGCCAGCTAGCCTGCACACGGTGAGGATCAACAGAGAGACCCTGTCTCAAACAAGGTGAAAGGCAAGGACTGACACCACGGTTGTCCTCTGACCTCACATGCACACCCACACTCACACGCTGTGCTCCTAAAGGTTTATATCCAGAAAGGCTTACCTCTCCCTGCCCCAGTCCGTTACTTTCCCCTCTGGACCACTTGATGCGGTACTCTGTTTATTTATTTAATTAATTAATTGTATGTGTTTATCTTAGTTTTTTTCTTGGTTTTTTTGAGACAGTGTTTCTCTGTGTGGTCTTGGCTGTCCTAGAATTGCTCTACAGACCAGGCTGGCCTCAAACTTAGAGATCTACCTGCCTCTGCCTCCTGAGTGCTGGGATTAAGGGCATGCGCCACCAACAACCCTAAAAACTTATTCTGAGGCATAATTTATATCTACTAAAATATGTCCATTTTAGATATTGCTTGATAATGTTTGAACAAGGAACCCCCCTTGCTGTATATACCCCCACATTCCCCTCCTCATCTACATAGGAGCCAGGAGACACTTGTGCCCTCAGCCTGGCTGTTTATATAACACGATTCTGTCAAGAGTCACCACAGGGTCATGAGTGAATTTTATTTTTTATTGCTTTTTTTTAAATGCCCCAATAGTTTCAGCCATTTAAGAAAATACATCTTCCTGTCACATCATTCTAGCATTCATCAGGAATTACGTGGTGGGAGCTGGAAAGACTGCTCAGGAGTTAAGCACACTTGCTGCACAATCACAAGGACCTGAGTTGGGATCCTAGTATCCATGTAACACAACAGGCATTCCAGGAATGAAAGTCTGTGACCAGGACTCTTGAGTGAGCGTCGTGGTGGTGGTGGTGGTGGTGGTGGATCAAAGAGGCTTGCTGACTTCCAGCCTGACTGAGGAAACTGAGCCTCAGCTTCAGAGAGAGACCTTACCTCAAAGGAACAGGTAGAGTGATAAAGGAGAATGCCTGCCTGGTGCCTTCTTCTGGCCTCTGTACTCACACTCCTGGGTGTTCGTGTGTGTGTGTGTGTGT